CAGGAAAGCGAGAAGAAAGGACTAAACATCAATTGCAAGAATACAGAATGCATGGTTGTCAGCAAAGGGAATAAGATGTCAACTAGAAAATAATTTAATAGATGATAAAAAATGTGACCTGGAAATCTGAAAGTTCATTGAAATTGTTGTGGTGTCCTCCCTCTAAGAATCTATGTTAGACTCTTCCGCCTACTATAAATTAAGTAGGAGAGAAGATTCGGGGAACAGTGAACAGTGAATTGGAACAGAGCCATAGCCTGTTCAACTGTCGAACTCTCTGTCTTTGGCAGAGAGAAACCCGGACGAGGCTTTGCCGAAGGTCAAAGTTTTGTCTGGGGAGGTAGATAGACCCTGAGCCCGTTTATACGGGTTCTAAGGGAATATTTTGGGCCGAGCCTACAGGCTCAGAGAAACCATGGTAAACTCGGCCTTTTACCACATACATCCCTCGTGAGTGGGTGCTGTTAAATATTAACAGTGAGGAATGGATTGATTGTGCGCTTATTCATTCTATACACTCTAACTAATCGTGTAATACTCTTCTGGTGTACTTACTGTTTAATATACGATATATCTACAAACCTGGTTTTTGGTATTACTTAACCATTTACTTGGACACAGCAGAAATAGAGAACGATGTCTTCGAAATGGAAAATTGATACAAGGAAAAGAGTGATGGACTCTTTTGTAAGATCTGTCCTAGATGATGAACAATTTCCTTACTGATGAAGAAGAGACTTGAAGCGACAAAAATGTGGTTTTATAGAAAGATGCTGAGAATACCATGAACCGACCATAAGAGTAACGGGGACAACTGACAACAGAGCAGGAATACAAGAGAACATTTGGCATTCTTTTTGGTCTTTTCTACGCAATAGGCAATATTTCTTTAACGCTCATACCAACTGATTATTACCTTTCTTTTTTGATTACTTCAAAATGTTTTGATGGGAAAATAGTTCCTCATCAAAACCAGATTAAAGACTTCGTCGAATTTTTTTCTTGTGAAAACCCGCGGAAAGTTACTCAAAAGTTATCGCAGAGCCACCTGATAATTGGTAACAAATCATACCAAATAATGAAGATCTAATTGAATAAGCCGTCTTGATGGAGGGTCGCCTTGACGTGATAGAACGGCTTGCGTGCTTCAACGACCCCCAGAGCTACGCAATCGGGGGCTTCGGCCCTTAGCAGGTCCAACCAAGTTCAACATGTCTGTGGGGTAGGAGCCAGACGAAAGACACACGCTGGTCTTCCAGGGTGTGGGTTGTACTCAATTAAAAGATAGCTTGTTACAGAAACCTCAACGATATCTTCAAACAACGACGTGGCCGAGGAAGAGTCCTCCAATTTTGAGCGTATGCTAGTGAAAATCCCCCGGGAAGGCAGCCGGCACGACATGGGCCGAGCTGGAGAAGCTCGCCCGGAACCGCGTCCGTTGGAAAGGTGTTGTGGCGGCCTTATGTCCCCAAGGAATCAAGAGGCATGAAAAAAATAATACATTGTTTTCAGGAATTTCTATTTTTTGCGACTTTTTTTCTTTTTTCACTAAAATCTATTAAATTTCTAGCTGACGCGACTTTTGAGCATTTAGACGATCATGGATCTCCACAACTTCTAATCTCTTATGATTCCTAAGACTTGAAACACTGAATTGAAATTTGAATGAAATTTACATTTATTGACAAAACATTAACAAGCAAACATTAACGAATGGCCCAACCTAATACAATGTTGACGCAGATGTGAAGGCAGCCGGCACGACATAGGCCGAGCTGAAGAGGATTCCCTGGAACCGTGTCCGTTGGAGGGGGTTGTTGTGGCCTCATGTTCCCCAAGGATTTAAGAGGCATAATGGATGAATTGAATAAAATCTAACTGTATTTCATTTTTGGAAGAATAAATATCATGAAGAATATTAGAAATTATTTAAGACTGAGAGAAATACATCACTCGAAAGATTCCATCATCTAAAACAAAAAAACGGGCTTAACATAGAAATAGAACGGAAAACTAATGATAAAATCAAGATGTCAACTTTTGCACTTAAACAAAGATTAGGAAGGAAACTTTCATCAATATGTGAAAGAGCTATAACATTTACTGGACTTTAGAGTTCCAATTTCCGGCAAAACTGTTTTAAGAAAAAGATTTTATGAAGTTCAAGAAAAGATGTAAAAAGTAAGAGAAATAAGATAAATACTAGTATGGAATTAATGACCATTGACAATAATTCATGCAAAGAATTCAGAAAACTTAAGAGACTGGTTTTGGCTTTAAATTCTGAGTTGTATTTCGACAATACTGGCTGCAAACCAAGGCTAAATTGTCCAGTCTGCCTTACTATGTAACTTATTGCTGGTGTGACAAAATATTAATTGATTGATTGGGCTTTTTTTCCGGCGAATCAACCTTTTTCAAGTCAGAAAATATTTTTAGATTTTACAAATATTTTGGAGATAATGATTTAGGGATACAAGTGTTACTAATTTAATTCTGAGTGTGACGATAAACTACATCCGACAGCAAGGCCTCTGAACGTGAGACTGAAGATTTTGAGGATCAAAATTATATATATATATATATATATATATATATATATATATATATATATATATATATATATATATATTAAGCGTTATTACCCCATGCAAGGCATTAAAGACACTAAAAAACAAGAGGTTACGGGGTGTGGGAGAATTAGGAACAGAAACATTAATAAAGAGGGGTAAGAGGAAAGAGGACAGTAGATATCAATTGATTTTGAAAATCAAAATTGCTATATATATATATATATATATATATATATATATATATATATATAATCGCTATGAACAGAAACATTAATAAAGAGCAGGAAGAGGAAAGAGGACAGTAGGTATCAATTGATTTTGTGGATCAAAATTTGCTATATATATATATATATATATATATATATATATATATATATATATATATATACACGAGGTTACAGGGTGTGGAAGAATTAGGAACAGAAATATTAATAATGGCCGGGAAGAGGAAAGAGTAATCAGGAGGACATTAGATATCAATTTACAGGGAGTTCCGCAAACAATTATGCTAACATTTCAGCCAATGCTAACACAAGCGGTAATGGTAACAATTTTGCCCTTACTATGTTCAGGCAATATGTTAAAATATTACATTAAAAAATAATTAATTTTTTCCTTATGTTTTTCGATGTTAAATATTCTGGATACTAACACAAAAGCAGAGAATGTCTCATATCGAGAATATTTAACATTGAAAAACATAAGGAAAAAATTAATTATTTTTAATAATATGTGGAAATCTCCGCTTTTTACCTGAAGACGGTCACGAGACCAGAAACCGGTGTAGTAAAATTATGGAAAATAAAGCATAATATTTTTTTCTAAAAAAATCCACATTACAACCAAAAACGTTTGCGGCACCTCTTCTTTTTAATATACATACTTTTCTCTCGTTGGAACCACTACAACCTCATTATTTTATATATATATATATATATATATATATATATATATATCCGAAAGACTTAAATCTAAACCTTAAACATATGGCCTATCCCTTAATGACATAATTAATAATGAACAATCCTAGACAAAAGCCGTCCCCAAAATAGAATAAACAGGAAATAACCATTTACCTACTGATAATTAGTCTTCTTCACGTTATTAGTATGACAACCGAGTTACGCAGAAACGCTGCGGTTGATTTGAATATTTTTTAAAAATTAACTGTTAATAAAGTTAAAATTAAATATTGTGAATAAAATAAACATCAGTAAGGTATCAATTAATTTTCAACTCATGAAAATAAAATAAATATACAATGTAGTGATTTGATAGTTTAAATCATTTCACCGAAAACAAGGCAATAAAGCTACTAAGGCGCAAAGGGCTATTGAGTGCTAGAGAATATGAAAAAATTGAAATATGAAAAAGTGAAAAAAAAAAACAAATAAAAGAACAAGAATTCAAAAGACAGAAGATAACGATTGAAATTGCATTTCATTTTTTTAATATCTAAGGCAATAAAGCCACTAAGACGGAAGCGTTTATTGAGTATTAGAGAATATCAGAAAACTAATATTAAGGAGAGAGGGCAATAAAAGAACAAAAATTAAGAAGACTGTAGATAATGATTGAGATTGCATTTAAATTTTTTGAAGATCATTAATATTTCCATAAATGTTTGTCCGATACATTTGCATGTCAATTCATTTATTTATTTAATCATTTCACCCCAAGCAAGGCAATAAAGCTACTAGAATGCGAGAGATTAGTGAGTGTTAGAGAATATGAGAAAAACTACTATTAAGGAGAGAAGACAATAAAAGAACAAGATTTAAAAGATATAAGATAACGATTGACATTGCATTTAAATTTTTGAAGATCACACTTGACTGGAAAGTTAAAAAGCTAGAAGACATTTTAGAAGGGAAAGTGCGAGAAAAAACAGCATAGAATATATATATATATATATATATATATATATATATATATATATATATATATATATTAGAGAAATATATATATATGTGTGTGTGTGTGTGTGCGTGTCTGTGTGTATAACGAAATCTGTTCTTCCTCTCTCTCTCTCTCTCTCTCTATATATATATATATATATATATATATATATATATATATTTCAAAAAGATCAGCCAATCACGTTACCATGTTTTCAACCTTATGCAGCCAAATTATTTCCTCACACGTTATTATTCAAATATGAATGTGCAACATGGAGTGTAATCGAAATGGAGGTGTAAGGCAAGATTATTGAAATTTTATTGTAAAAGGTATAAATAAATTATACATACTTTCATTCGGGTTTGAACGAACTCAGAAAGTACTTTTTAGTGTGTATACATCCCGACATTATTTCAGACCTTTCATTTATTAAATTTCTGGGGTCTGGAAGTCTAGCACAGTTTGCATACTAGCAGACATCACTACGATTGCTGTAAACTTTGGCTCTTCTTAATATTCTACTGTTTACATTGCATAATAACAGTTATATATATATATATAGATAGATAGATAGATAGATAGATAGATAGATAGATAGATAGATAGAAGCGATGTTTTTGTTGACGTAATTACACATGCGTACGAAAGTAAGGGGAAGGGAGGGGCGCTAAATATTAAAACTATTACATTGATTTTTTTTATATATTTTTAGGTAATAGTCAACCACTCAGTTACGTGTCATGCGTAATACACGCTTAGGCGATCATGTAAATCATTTAAAAATTCTATACATACATTTATATATATATATATATATAAAAGGCAGGATGTGTGTGTGTGTAACGATTGCACGGCCGCAATTTTCGACGGATTTGCACCAAAATTTACATGCACATGCTCCAAGTTAGCAGGAAGGCCAAGACCTAATTTGCATTTCCCAACTCCGATCGATAGTTGAAATAATCGATTTTTTCATGCGTCTACGGCAGTTTTCATGTAGTTTGCGGCTATTTTCCACCTGCCAGAATGAGAGCTTATAGCTGGCTGCCACGAATAGGCATGAAGATTTACTGGCCAGCGTAAGAGCCAACAGCTGACTGACACGAATGTTAACTAGCATGCTAGCATGCAAAAAAAAATATCGATAGCTGCATTCGTCACAAGTGGGAAAAATTTAAATCTGCATGGCACTTTATTCTAATTGGCTCATTCGCTTGCTTAAACTCAACGTTGATTCTTATTCTGCAGAACTGGGTTGGGTGTGAAAAAGTATTTGTTGTTAACATTCTTTTTTTCATTCGGTTTTTCCAGTTACGAATCCTTTTTTAAAGCTGATCGTTTTGCATTCATTTTGTTTAGTTCTTTTTTCGTAACAGATTTAATGTTTAGTATAGAGCTTAGAAAAAATTCGCAGTGTGAGATAGGCAAGAAGTAAGGCATGTAGCAACATCAGCATGGCAAAGAGCACTCCTTTAAAGGCAAGGAAGGGCAAAAAATATTTTAAGTCAAGTGATAGCTGTATGAGTCGTACGATTTTTGAATCAAGCACGGGCACCGCCGGGCCATGCTGCTAGAATATTCGAGAGTCATAATAAAAAAAATTGTGGTACACATCCTCCTTGGTAAGGCAAACGACCTTTGATATATTAGGGGACACTGAAGTCAACATCGACAGTCTGTTTCATATTTCAATAAATAAAATGTGTTCTCCGCTAGTATTCGATCCTGCGCCCCACTTTGCATCTTGTACTAGTGAGCTGTTATCACTCAGACCCGACGAGGTCCATATTAGAGTAATGTTCTATTTTCCTTTAAAACTAGACTCACTCTTCATTTTTTTTCTCTCGAAACTTATTTCTGCTCAGTTTTTTATCCGAAACGTAAATAGTACAAATTCTAAAGAATTAGTCGATTTTATTTTCTTTAATTCGACAAAATAAATGTAAACTTTTATTATTTCGAAAGTTATTTTATTAGATAACCTTATTTGAGTAGACGCTCCGTTTATTTTAAATATATTTATTTCGTCTATCGGCCTGTGTATTCGAAAATACTTAATAAAGAAAATGTGCTCTCCGTCAGGATAAATTCTGTTTAATGCCTGAAAGTAATCTTAAAGCCATTATATAGATATATAACCATTTTTTTCTTTTTTATAAAACAAAGCTGGGTGGTAGACGGAATAGTAGAAGATCGGAGTGGGTCAGCCATTTTGTTTCTAGCGAATTGCGGCCAGGTTTTAACGCGGGGCACATATCTTGATTGACTCGCTGCGATGGCGTCACGTCTCGCTTGGTGAACGAGCGTCTGTCAGGCGAGCGAATGGGTGGCTGGCCAAGAAAAACAACGACTTTTGCGGCCAACGGAACTTTTACGTGGCGGGGACACGTTCGCCTAACATCAACGAACAAACGAGATGGCACGCTGTCGGCATGTCGAAGCGTGATGGCGATTTGATTCAGGCCGAGACGTGGAACGGGGTGCCACACGACATAGCAACAAAACTCGGCTCAAGCTACCTTAAGTGGGTATGTAGAAATTTCTGGAATGGGGTGGGGATGCTTTAAATTAAAAGGGACTGTGTTCTAAGATTTGGAATTAGTTATAATTATTACCCGATTCCGATACTGAGAAATACACACACACACACACACACACACACATATACATATATATATGTGTGTTTGTGTATGTGTATATATATATATATATATATATGTGTGTGTGTGTGCGTAAAAATATATTGAAAATAGGAAAGAACTCGAAATCCAAAGTTCTTTAGTATTTTTGCAATTATTTTTTAAAAATTATGTTCGAACAAAAGTAGAGCATAAATATAATTATTTATTTAAAAATATTATTCCAACGCTACATAAGAGTTCTAATGTTTCAAAACAAGTTAGCGAATTATGACAGTTTTTTTTATATACACCAAACCCTTTCAGAAAAAAATAAAAAATAAATAAATGAATCTCTCTCTCTCTCTCTATATATATATATATATATATATATATATATATATAAGTGAACATTTAAGTTAACACTTACAGGCGAGAGACTGTTTCATGTTGGACGCAATCGTCAGGCCACCTGACGATTGCGCCTAGCATGAAACAGCCTGTCGCCTCTGAGTGTTGACTTCAGTGTTCACTTTTATATTTATGCTTACATACGCTCTATCTCTGATATTGAGAACTTTATCCCACAAATATAGCACACCTTAAAACTATATTTCTTCATATATATATATATACACATAGAGAGATAGTATTAGTGGTCAATATATATATATATAAAATATATATATATATATATATATATATATATATATATATATATATATATATATATATGATTCCAATGTAATAAATTATAACCACGGAATATTAGTGTTTGATCCTTTTATATTATATATATATATATATATATATATATATATATATATATATATATATATATATTTAAAGAGAAAGAAAAAAGAAGTGAGTGAGATAGAGTGATAACTCGGTGTTGGGAAAAGTATTCTCACGGTCCTACCATCGCTACTTCTCAATATATTCACGTCTTCATCAACACCACAACGTTTGTCCATCAGTGCGTCTTTTAGCAAAGAGATCAAACCCAAATGCCTCGAGGAAGAAGTAAAAACTCTGCTGTTATGAATTGGATACACCATCACCCAGCTGAGCTTTACGAAACTTGTATTGTGCATATCGTCATTCGTAGTTTGACCAACTGCCATTGTAATAGTTGGAGACTGTGTTGAGAAGGAAAGCTGCCAACCTGTGATGTATAGATATATCTTGAAAGATAAGTTTGATTGTGTTTCTTATAATAAAGCAAGTTGCATTATTTTTTTGACTCACATTGATTTAATAGTTTAGCACTTAACTAAATGTGCGAGACACACAGTGAGAATCAGATTCATTATTTTATTAAAGAAATCAGTCAGTTATATGCCATACGTGATACACACTTAGGCGATCATGTATTTTTCGATACATGATTGATGAGGCATATTTATTTCTCTTTGCATTAGATTACCATTTCTTTCTATGGTAGCTCAGTTGCCATCTAAGGCTATAGAACCTGGTCTGTCCTGCTATTTACCCATAGCTGAGAGGAAAAGAAGAGGATTCATACCTTTCCCAAGAGTATTAGCACGTAAGTGAATGTAATGGATTCAACTGGAAAGTCAGTCATTCAGTTATGTGCCATGCGTGATACACGCTTAGGCGATCTTTCGATACATGACTGACGAGGCAGATTTTTTTTTACCCGCATTAGGTTGCCATTTCTTTCTAGACCAGTTGCCATCCAAAGACCTGGTGTTTCCTGCTATTTACCCATAGCTGAGGTGGCGGGAGAAGAAGCGTATTCATACATTTCCCAAGGGTAATGTGAGTGTAATGGATTCGACTTGAATTCGAACTCGACTCACCGAGTCCTCAATCCGAGCTCCTTTACTCCACCGTGCTTCCTCAAATAAACAAATATAAACGCAAATTGAGCATTACCATGGATAATATCCATTAAATATATATCCATGCATTTTTAATACCATTTGGGGTTATTATCTCAGGATTACTTAATAAATCTTCCTCCTCTTTCTGTAGAAGCATAACCAGATTTCTGCCGCATCTATTTTCTCTCCTCATCTGTCGAGAGATTGTCCAGCATTCACTGCCACATAAGAGGATGGATACAGCAATCCAGCACTCTTCTTTTTGTTTCTAACAATTTCTTCTGTTTCTACAAACATTAAATTAAGATCAAGCTACTTAAAATAAAACAATATTATACTTTATTCTAGGACAGGGGTTGGCTACCACGTGGCACGCCAAACAATTTCTAGTCGCACGCAGTCGCAAATGACATCTTTTTATGTGCTATGTCCTTTCAGGATGTAGGCGTTCATAGTTCCCCCCCCCTCTATCCCCTTTCAGCTCTCAACAAGTGCCTTCCCTCTCCCATCTCCCCCAGACCGCGTTCTGTCATCCACTTGCTCAGGCACGCCAGGTATGTCAGGCGTTTTTTCCCCCTTGTCTCTCTTTCCATCTAGTCGACCCGTGAGTATTAGATTCTCCAGGCCTTCCTTCCTCATTATGTGTCCCATCACGAAGTCCGAACCAATAAATACTAGAACGGTAGGACGATATTTAGCTGTTTCAATTTTAATATACACTAAAGTGTATATACTATATAAAATATATTTTAGAACAGGTATATTGAACTTGACTTGTATAAAAATACGTATGCTGTTGGCACATTGAATGCACATAGTTAGCAAATGTTCCCGACCACTGTTCTAGGAGATGGAGACTCATTATGGACGGAGGAAAACAACATGTACCTCAGCCGCAGTAGAAGTGGTGTTTCTTGAGCAAGATAGCCTGACGGAGCCCGACTCTTCAGACTGGTTTAAATTCAGATTTCCCTTCTGCTAGTCTAGTTGCCAACCAAGACTAAAGAATCTAGTCTGTCCTATTTACCCATAGCTGGGGAGTTATGGATTCAAGCCCTTCCCAGGAGTATTAGCAAGCAAATGAATTTAATGAACTCGGCCGGAATTTTAAGATTCTTCAATTCGACCCGTTATCAATTATTCTACAGTACCTCCAGATTAGTACCGCATGGGATGAGCTTGAATACATTTATTTTCCTTTAAAAAGTAACATCAAGGATAAATAAAGATTAAACCAGCAAAAAATGAATAATAAAACAGCAACAAATAACTTAAGACTAATAAGAAAACTATTGGAGGGCTAAGAGGTCTTGTTGCCACTTGACCCCCTGTAGAGAATTTTAAAGCAAATAAATTGGTATTAAGTGCTTTGAGTACTTTTTTACGGCTACTTTGCTCCAGGTTTCTAGTGACGCTTTGTATTCTTTTAAACTCAAGGACTGCTTGAAGGGCGTCTTTCCGGGTGAGAAACAAGAGTGTGGATCCGTGTGGGTCTACATGTGTAAGTGCTTATCCCTGTGTTAGCGTATAGTCGTGTGTTTTTTGTTTTGTTTTTCTTTTTTGTGTGCGTTTATATGTGCCTGTCGGTTGGCAGGGGAGAAAGTGTTTTTTCGGTTGTTGAGGCGTGACTGTCTTGTGTAGTAAACACAAGTAGGAAACGGATTTGCCGCAACACTTGCGAAGAAGCTGCTCAAAAACCTTTGCCTTGTGATGCCTTGTTAACTTCTTTCTCTTGTTAACAACGACCCCCATCAATCCAGGACGTGCAATTTTCGCGAGCGCCCGCATAAGCGGGAAGGGTAGAGAGATAAAGAAAGAGAGAGAAAGAGATGCGAGAGAGGGGAGTTAAAAAGAGAGAAAATGAGATAGTGTGTGAGAAAGAGAGAGTGAAAGAAAAAAAGAATCAGAGAGAGAGAGAGAGAGAGAGACCATACGCACGCACAATATAAGAGGCTCGTTTTTATTTCGGATTTTCTTCACTCATAACAAACACAGTGTAAGCCATGTGATCACCACGCATCTCTTTCGACAAAACAGCCAGGGACGCTGGTACTTGTCACATTGCACAAGCAGCAGATACGATCACTGGCTACGGGGTTTTTTAAGAGATTTGTATTAAAAAAATAAAAGAAATAAAAGAAATCAGGAATTGGTTTTGTGCTTCTGTCGGAATATTCAAATGGGGGTATGCACATGTCAGAGCAACACACGGATAAAAAGCTTGCGTGCACACACACGCACGCAGAAACACACACACACACACATACACGCACACTGGTACATGTAAGCGCAATCGCACACACCAACACATATAGAAACTGCTAATTATTGAATTACGACACCCCAAATTGATATGTAAATGGATCACACACACAGAGACTCACACATGCACATACACACACACACTCACACAGACGTATATATATATATATATATATATATATATAAAATAGATATATTAAAAATATTTATCTATTTTTTAAGACTTGAAATGGAAAATAATTAAAAATTCTTACAAGAAGGAGGAGGAAGAAGAGGAGGCTACGAGAAGGAGGAAGAGGAGAAAAAGTAGGAGGAGGAGAAAAAGAAGGAGGGAGGAGGAGAAAAAGAAGGAGGAGGAGGAGGAAGAGGTGAAAAAGTAGGAGGCGGAGAAAAAGAAGGAGGGAGGCGGAGAAAATGAGGAGGAGGAGGAGGAGAAGAAGAAAAAGAAGAAAAAGAGGGAGAATTAGAATTATAAGATGAAGAAGGAGGAGTAGTAATACAATAAGAAGGAGGAGGGGGAGGCGGAGAAGAAGAAGAAGGAGGGAGAGGAAAAATAAGAAGCAGGAGAAGGAAGATAAAAACGAGGAGGAGGAGGAGGTGGGGAAGAATGTGGAGGAGGAGGAGAAGGAAGACGATGGGTTAGTGTAACGTAAGTCTGTTATGCATAATTTCCTATTCCCTTCATCGGTCAAATATTTTCCAGGATTTTTATTTTCAACTTCAATTGCAAACATGCAATACAGACACATAACGGACAATAATTCAAAATTCATAGAAAGAAAGAAAAGTTAATCATTTAAAATACTGAGAAATAAAAGCAAGAGAAAAAAGAAGAAAATAGAAAATGAAGATGAAAAAACAACGACGAAGAAGAGAACGACGACGACAAAAAAGAAGAAGAAGAAGAAGAAGACCACGTATGACGACAAAAAAGAAGAAAACGACGACGACGACAACGAAGAAGAAAAAGTCAATGACGACGACGACAAAAAAGAAGACGACGACGAAGACTACGAAGACAACGACGACGAAGAAGAAGACAACGACGGCGACAACAAAAAAGAAGACGACGACGATGGCAACGACGACGACGAAAAAGAAGAAGACGACGACGACGACGACAAAAAAAAAGATGACGACAATGACGACAAAAACGAAGAAGAAGAAGAAGAAGAAGAAGAAGAAGAAGAAAAATTTGCTTGCGCTCCACATACGGTTTTTATTAATTCTACAAAATAATTTGTCTTAAGGATATAAAAATATTTCTGCTGAATTATAACAACCTTATGTTGTTCAGCCCCAATTCTTTTTTTGAAAAAGTATGTCATCATTACGGCCGTCAAGAGAATTCGTAATACAGAGTTCTTCATTAAATGACTTGCCACCAGGCTTTCAAGGATTCTCTGCCAGAGAAAATGCCACTAGCCACTGGAATATTTGATTCCATATCACTTTGTTTCTGCTAATGTATGCTAGGCAATCTCTTTACACATGAACAGGAGAACTGACTGATTAATTGATTCCTATTGTACGGCATTTCAAGCCATGTTCCGGAGCGGGAATAAAAATGGTTTAGTGCTGCAAGCCTTACTAATTAACCCATAGCTAAGGAAAGCCGAGGTAGATTCATACCTTTCCCAAGGGTAATTGTGCGTAGCTGAATATAACGAAGCCAACTCCGATTAATAATTCTGAGCCATTATCCATTACACTACTTGCACCTCAAAGCTCAAAGCACCGTGTATTCCGAAGTGGTCACCAATTTAGGTACTGACCAGGCTCGACATTGCTTAACTTGAGTGATCGTACGAGAAACGGTGTTTCAATGCGATATGGTCATGAGACCGTTATCCCACCACACAGCCCATCTCACAGCAACCGGTATTCCCAAGCGGTTACTCATCAAGGTACTGTCCAGGATCGACATTGCTTAACTTCCCTAATCAGAAAAAGGCATCATTTTCCCCTGAGCAATTTTGAAAAGAGAAAAAAAAGAAGACCACATATGTTTTACATAGATAAATCCCTTCGTAAAGTGTGGGTTGTACAATTGAGAACAATTTTTTTGAAGGAATCCTTTCAATGAGTCTATTGAAATCTTTTCTAATCAATCCGAGGGCTCCAACTACAATATGCATTGTTGATGTTCCATGTGCCACATTTTAGAGATTTCGATTTCAAGGTGCTTGTATTTTCTTCTTCTTCTTCTTCTTCTTCTTCTTCTTCTTCTGATTATTATTATTATTATTATTATTATTATTATTGTTGTTGTTGTTCCTTTGATTTCTGATGTATACTCATTTCTTTCCGGGTCCCGAACAGAGACCTATGGTCTGAAATGGTATCATAATATTTTCCACTGAAAAAAAATCTCATTATTTTAGATGAATCACTCCGTATGGTGTGGACTGTATTGTGGGTAAAAATTTTTGTATTTCTTTAAGGCATTGGCTTTCAGGACTCCAACTACAACTGGAATTATTGATGTCCCCAGGGGCTACATTTTTGAGATTTCCATTTCAAGGTCCTTGTATTTTATTATTATTATTATTATTATTATTATTATTATTATTATTATTACAGAAAGAATCTATTTCACCTGAAGGTTCGTTCTCGTGACTTCTTCCGCACTTAAAATGTGAATGTTTATTTTCATTCGTTGTACTCTATTGTCCATCCAATGCATGTTATAAGAGCCACTTAAGGTAGAGCGTTACTTCATGGGGAGGTTTTGTGTGAGTAAGAATTGTACATTATGTGGATTAAAAATGGTTGACCTGAAACTTGAAGAGTCTGAGATTGTCGTGATCGGAGAATCATTCCATCGGGATTTTGTTACATAAAGCAGCGTTTTGGATATAGTCTACAGAATGTTCCAGAGCATTTATACATGTCCGTGGATTGACATTTCTGTATATTCTGCTATTTTATAAACTCTTTGTAGTTCATTTGGACAAATGCTAATTTTCAAGAAAGCTTCGCTTTTTGAAGCGGATCCGTTAAAATAATAGTTTAGAGTGAAGCTTTGACAAAGATAAGAAAAAAATATCATTCGGGATGAATTTTCATTATTGAAATCAAGGGAGAGCACTCAGTAACGTATTTAAGCGGACATCAAACGGTTCAACATGACAGGCCTGGCTTTTTATGTAGATAATTGGCGAGTGTGGGGTTATCAAATAACAACATCTGGCAAGAGACAAAGTAGCACTTTCAGAGGGGCTGTCTAGTTTGACGTTTCGTTTATTTGTGAAGATGAACCGTTAAGGTTAAGGGTGCATTTTATGAGGAGATCCAGGAGGTAATTAGAATTGTGAAATTATAAACTCCCAAAAATCATATATATATATATATATATATATATATATATATATATATATATATATATATATATATATATATATATATATTGAGAGGAATTAAGAGGAATCGAGTGTTTATCTAAAAATACATACGTCTAAAATCAATTGATACCTGCCTTACGCCAATGGATTAGAGTCTCCGACTGATACCAAATCAGTCGGGTTTCGATCGAGGCAATCGGATGTCTAGCTACAGTGATGAGGTGCAAAACATTCTCTCTGATGAATATATATATATATATATATATATATATATATATATATAGAGAGAGAGAGAGAGAGAGAGAGAGTCCATATTATATCTTGAAACAAAACAAGATGAACATCGGACGGTTTATCTACGATATGCGTGTTTGTAGATGTGATGTCCTGTTGTGTTTATTCTTAATTGATTACCAGCCATTTTTTATATATATATATATATATATATATATATATGTGTGTGTGTGTAATAAGATATTTTACATATATATATATATATATATATATATATATAATCGTATAATACATATATATATATACTCGGTTGTCCCGTCGAATTCGACGTATGAGGGTCAAGCAGATCAGTTCCTAGGAACCGACAGCCCGACACTAGCACATAAGATTTGATTATAGTGTTGAACGTTTTGTGCCGAATACAGACTTCGTGCACTACGTACCACAGGGTCCCCAAACGACCCTCCGGGTTTTGTCTTTCTCCTCGACCAGTTGCCATCCAGGGCTATAGAACCCAGTCTGTCATGCTATTTACCCATAGCTGGAGGAAGAAGAGGATTCATACCTTTCCCAAGGGTATTGACACGTAAATGAATGGAATTCGAACGCGGCTCTCCGATTCCTCAATCCAAGCCGTTATCTATATATATATATATATATATATATATATATATATATATATATATATATATATATATATAAATTAAATAGTTAAGGAATAGGCAAAGTTAAGTTTCCATGACTATAATTTATTTCCCCAGAAAATATATTTTTCCTGGTTCGTCAGGTAACATTGGTTATATATAGTGATTTTCTAGCCCCGGCTTAGATGTGGCACAAGGCCGAAAGTAAGGGGCACTCAGTAAGGATCCAACTCACTACTCAGTCGTAACTGATCTAGCAACACAAGCTTCATAGCGATTACACTACGTCCAGGTGTCCTAGTGATTTTCCAAGCGTAGCTTAGATGTGGCAGAAGGCCGAAAGTAGGGGCCACCCAGTTAGAATCGAACTCACTACTCAGTGGTCATTGTTTTAGCGGGACAAGCTTGCTAACTATTACACCACGCCGATGGTTATATATACACATATATTATACGATTATTGTACGCAGACGAAAGAAGTGAAAATTCCCAAACTGTAAGACATGAAGGCATCAATAATTCCAAGTGTATTTGGAGTCCTCGGTGTCATTGGAAAAGGATAGACTCATTGAAATTATTCCTGGTAGCCCATTAAAAATTAAAAAAAATATACTGAAAGAACCAATCAACCTTCCTCGTGGTAGATGAAGCTCTTCATTTCAATGTAGTTTTTTTCCAACTCAGTTCAGTGGAAAACGTGAGACCAAGAAGGCGAAGAAAGATTCTATCGTGTAGCTGAGCATCAGCCATGCTGACAGGAGGCAGGGACGTTTCTCTATGATGGATAAATGAGAGCTGTTTCGTTTTGGAGGCATTCAAATTTACAAGCTATTTCCTGCCCCAGTCAACCACTGATTGAAGGTCATTTCTGAACACAGCGGCCAGGTTAGCTTTGTCAACAATGTCGGATTTACTCTTGAGACAGGAGTCAATAGTAGTATCGTCTGCGTAGATACCTACTTAAGAAGTGATGAAATCAGCAAAATCGTTTATGAGTGCCTGAAGCCACAATGCTAGGTCATGACCAATAACACTGCAGATTCCTCTTTGGATTTGATAACGGATTTTAAAATATATAGCAGAGCCATCAGGACAGATGCGAGAGCAATATTCAGTGCATGGGCGACTGGGAAACGTATGTTTAAGAAACATTCTGGCCAGAAAAAATGTGTAGCACTCCAAAATGAACCAATTTCTGAGCAGCCAAAGTAGCAAATGATTAAATATAATCTTTCTATTTCAGGTCAGTGGAAAACCCTATCCTGGAGATTAGTATCATTCATGATGAGGGAAGTAAAAAAAAAAGGTCCTCAAGATGATTAAAAGTCAGCCGTTTTGTTTTGGAGCGTTAAAATTAACAAACCGTTTCCTTTGTCAGTTAACAACCGATTTAGGTCATCGTTGAGATCAGTTCCCAATTTGACCCTATCGAACAGGTACGAGTTTATCGAATTCTCATTGATTAACTAGTGTCGTCACGATACGATTAAACTCACTTCGTGACTATTTTGACACATGTCAACATATGGGCATGTCTACAAACTACAGAAGATAAGCAAAGACTCCAAGAGTTTAAAAAAAATCAATTATGTTCCACAATCAAGTATGATTTCTTTCATAGGATAAATTGATTGATTGAATAATATTCTACGGTTTATCAACCCTTTACTGGTTATTTAAATCAGAAAATATTTTAAATTGTAAGAATTTTTTGTTTGTAGGGAGTCAGGGAGAATAATAGTTTAGTGATACAAGTCTTACTAATTAACCCATAGCTGGGGGAGAAGAGATGTATTCATACGTTTCCCAAGGATGTTTGCGCGTAATTTAATATAAAGAACACAACTGGAATTGGAACTCTGCTCTCCGATTAATAATTTCGAGCTATTTCACCACCCGCACACCCAAGCTTATAGCATTTGGTATTCCAAACTATCACAAAACTAGGTCCTGAACTGTCTCGACGTTGCTTAATTTCGAGGATTGTACAGGAACCGGTGATTGAAAACCGTAAGCTTTTATAAGACAGATGTTGAAATTCGCCATGAAGATGTCATCTTTTTGAGTTCAATGACGCCATGTTTGTTTTGTTTCTTTTTTTTTTGTCACTAGACTCAATTGAGATATGGTGGCTGCCGCTGAAGAATTCGCTAAAATACGGAGTTCAAAAGTTGACAACCATCAGCTTGAGTGATTACTTAACTTGAAAAATTGGTTTTCATTAATTTCGAAGATTATTTTTAATAACATATCCCTTCAGTGTTTAGGGGATCATACCTCTCCAGCTTTCTTCATTATCTTTGAAATGTTTGTTTACACTATTGACATCGGACGATTATCCACATTTTTGTTTTTGTTATCAAAATCGTCAAAAAGTTCTGATAAAAACAACAAACATGTGGTCAATTGTTCGAATATAAATAGTGTAAATAATAATAACAAATTAAAACTTTGATATGTTGTTGAAAAATGCCGACGCTGGGCCAGGATGGCAAGCGATTGGTCGGAATATTTCCTTTGCGGGGAATTCTAATAGTAACTGATTTTGTTTGTCTAAGTTTTGGATACAAGACCAATACGGTCGGAATTCGTCAGTGGGTCGAAAGAATTTTGAAGC